AGTTCTGGGCCCTCAAATCGTTTACTGCGGTGGGATCACCTAGGTGGTTTAGGCTGGGAGGTGGTAACTATAGCAATCAGTGCTGTCTTGTAGTGTCCCTGGTGTATTTGCCAGACTCCAAGAAAGCGTCTTAGGTGAACAACTATTTTTACGATCGCAAACTCATTCGTATTTTTGCTATATACCTAGATACAGATGTAAGCTAGGGACATGCTATATAAAAGCTGGTGAACTCAAGGCTAATGCAAGGCTACTGCAGTAGAATCCATCGCTGACCGAAACCAACTGACGGCCTTACAGCCTCCATCAGGTGTTCAAGAACCCCACAGCCTACCCTCCCGTCATGCCGTGATCAGCATGTTCCATATGAGTATGAGTGACCCCTCCTGCCTGTTTCGCTAGTATAGGCTCAGTCGGCCACCTTCTTCTCGCTCTATCGGCAAGATCTTAGATGTCGTAGGTCATGTAGTCGTAGACGCCCGGGGGGCCCAGTGCGCGCACGAGGGATCTGGCCACGACCTTTCGCTTGACGGTGTCCCAGCTGCCGCCGGCGAGGGCCTTAAGGTCGGGTGCGGGGGGTTCCCAGTCGCCGTTGTAGAGGGCGCGGAAGGTGACGGTGACGGGCTCGTAGTCGTCGCACGCGCGCGCCGGGGGCGCCAGTCCGATGACCAGCGTCTCCTCCCTGTAGATGGGCTGTGTGATGCCGCGGTCTTCGAGCACGCGCTTGTAGTCGGCGACGCCCGGGTCCTTGTACAGGTTGTGGTCCGTGGCCTGCGGTAGATCCCAGACGCGCGCCTGCAGGTCGAAGCACGCGTGGCACAGGCCGTCGGCCTCGTCCGCGCCGTAGTCGTAACCCACCCAGCCGTCTTCGTCCTCGTCGTCCTCATCGACTTCCAGCTCGGCGTCGACCTCCAGTCTTATGGGGTCCGTCAGCTTCGATTCGCTCGAGCTGACGTATTTGCTGCAGCGGTGGAAGGGCTCCAGGCGGATGTTGCGCAGAGCCGGGAAGAACTTCCGCAGGACGTACCACAAGAGATCGAAATCCTCGTGCATCACCGGCTCCTTGTGATCGAACTTCTGCGGGTGCTCGATCTTGTCGTCGCTCCAAGGGCCCGAGTTCTTGACATAGTCGGGGAGGGCAGGGGCTAGTTCGGGGATGGTGAGGTTTCGTAGTCGACTCATGTCGCCCATCCAGAACGACGTGGAAAGGGGGTTGTGGACGGGGTAGACCAGCCTGTCCAGGTCGAAATTGAAGTAGACCTTCGTCTGGCCTACTTCGGTCGCCGCTAGCGCTAGACACAGGCTGTAATGCCTGAGTGTCTCTTGGCGCGATTCTTGGTTAATCCATAGGGCTATAGGAGGTCGGGCTTGGGCAGACGTCACAGTGACTGTGATAGCAGAAATTAGTAAATATATCTTTTGGCAAAGGTATGAGGACCTGGTGTGCTGAAATACGGATCCTAAACGTTTCGCGGGGGAAGGGGTGAAATAGAAGAGAGTCACTGGGCAGGTACAGGGGATAGGTTCGATGAAATAAACTTACTGAACTGGTAGTCCACGTGGAAAAAGCTCGCTGATACTTCCTCGGTATCTGGCAAGGCGCCCCAGAAGTAACGTGCGATATTCGCGTGTTGAATGCGAGTCAAGGACGATTGGCCAAATCTTCCATTGTTGAGCTGGGTTACGCTAGTCGCCATGTCCTGCGTGCCCTCAAGCGTTCGAGTAGGTCGGATCGCTCGAGCTACCCAAGTACGGCGCCAGATCATGAGACGTAACTCCGTGGGAAGCTGACGGAACTTGGGGAAACGGAACGGACGGGTAAGGCGGGATGAGCGGCTGGCATAACGGTAAGGGGGGAAGGTAGACTGGATAGGCGGGAACAGATTGGTTGCGCCAGCTTCATAGGCCGGGAACATTCGTCCAGTTCCAGCCTCTCGGTCGCTGATGTCGCTGTCCGTCCGCTTTCTCTTCGAGCCAGACGGAGAGGATATCTGCGGCCACAACGAATCCAGATACGGCATTGTGCGTACACAGCAAAGAAGAAAAATAAAAGAGCCTAGCAGCATGTAAGTAAAGATGTGTACGACATAGGGTTACTCGATGCAATATGCAAAGACATATGCATACCTTGAACAGAAAGTCTGATGACAACTGAGCTCAGAGGAACCAATGCTGGAGAGTCGGAAGCGCAAAGGTCGAAACTCAGTTGCCGAAGAAATCGTGCTGAGGGAAGAAGCGAGACAAAAGTTCAGGACACGGTCACCACTTAAATGGTTTTCTGTTGGCCCGCAACGCCGCGATATGTTTGGCGCGATACCTGGATGGCCTTGTGTCGCCTTGCCGGTCTGGGCTAGCAAAAATAAAATGTCACAGACACTGCACGGGCCTAGCTCAGCATCGTCCATTCGATCGGAGGGTATGAGTCAATTACATACCTTGGGTACCTTGTGTGCCTATTAGAGCAATAAGAGCAAGCAATAAGAGCAAGCTGCAGATGGAGGTTAAGCTAGAGTGGTGATAGCTGAGGTATGTCGGGGTTAGAATAGGAGGCGAATCGTGATAGACTGCCTCAATAGAAGCTGATAGAATGTGGCCAGTTGAGAAAGCCCCCTATGGATGTGAAGCAATCTGTAAGGATATTTGGCAGCTCTGAGCTGTATCTCTTGGTCGGAGCATGGAAGAGAGAGAGCAAGTTTTCGAAAAGTACTCTGCGGCGATGGCAGATATATATACTCAATTTTCGGCAGGTCGACCTTCCGATTTTGTTGCTGTAGACGGACCCGCGTGCCTTCCGGTTTGCGGCACCTTCCTCGCGGGGACGGAAATCTCCGCCGAATTGTCGACCCGGCGGGCTGGTGTAACAACTCGGCAAATGAGAAATTGTCGGGCCTTAACCTCGTCCGCACGGGTCCGCGCGGGTCCGAGCCCTTATCCTCGAGGATCTGTCGTGACCTCTCGGGGCTAGCACGATTGAGATAAAAAAAAAAAGAAGAAAGAAAAGGCAAGCTTAGAAAGAAATATGAGGGCACTCCCCGCCTAGTAGGCTTTTTGTGTAGTTGTTATATATATACGAAGGGCGCTGTCTCCCGTTAGGCTCCCGGCTCTTCGTGCAAAAACTTGGAGTCGTTGTTTCCCTAATAACGAGCATTGGCCTTGTGAGAGTAGGATCTAACGAACATGCTCGTGGGTAAAAAGATATAGCCTCGAAAGCCATTATATACCGCACGGGTTTCCTTTAGTTCTGTTTGTCTTGCAATAAATCCGCAAACCAAAGGAAAGAGCTTTACGTGCTCTGGCACCGATCGCACCTTCCTTTGCAATGCGAGGCGGGGATCACCATACCAAGTTGGGCATAGTGTACAGGATGAGTGACAAACCGGCATCAGGCAGGACAGAAGAGAAGGCTTTGTCTGTGGTACCCTGCACCTTCATGAATCTACTAGTATCTGCAACTAACGATAGAGGAATTAGGCAAATAACTTTTACATTCGCCGCTTCCAAATGGAGATTAATGTAGCAGAACTGGTTGTTAGAGACTGGTCACTGCTTGACCCCGGCACACTAGCAAAGAAGAAAAACATAAATGCATATAGAAAAAGATCACGGAACAAAAGACGGCCATATTGAAAGTAGGCAAGCCATCCCAATCTACCTGACTATAAGCCAGAGCTCATTATAGACTTATTCACAACTATTTCGTACTGTAGGACATCCTTGGCTAGCGTTCCCGCGATCGACAGACGACGCTTATTGGCCCAGCAGCTGTTCGATTTCCTATTACGGTAGGTGGCGATCTTCAGCCCTACAGCGCGTGTCGACTGTAGAGGCTCGTTCTCTAGCCTCTATCGGTACCAGTCATTCAATGTGTCCTCCGTGTCGTTGATCAGGATAGTTTGAGATGGAAAAAGAAGGAAAAAGAAGGAAAAACATCAGCAGCTAGAGTTATATGGCAGAAATGAGGTTACAGCTCAAGGGTCGACATTGCGAAATGTGAAGGTGCGCCCAGTGCACCTTCCGTACGTCATCAGATGTCGGCATAGGGCGCGGTTGACAAGGGCGGGGTTGTATAAAACATATCAACAGCCGGCCTGATTCCAGATGAAAAATTCTTTCTGATTGTTCGACAAAGATTCGAAGCAAGAAGCGGAAGATACAAACAAGAGAACCTTGTATGAACCATTGATTGACCAAGAAAAAAATGTCCGGACAAACATCTATCGACGATTTTGCCAAGCCCGAGTCCGTCACCGGCGGCTGTCTCTGCGGCGCAATCCGATATCGAGCCAGCTTCCCCAAGGACCATGATTTCAAGAAATTGGTGCGTATGATTGCTCCTCCTGTTTTCCCTCTTCTCCTTCGATCTTATTCTATTTTATTTTGTCCCCCCCCCCCCCCCCTTCAAAGCTACGTCTCACACCTCGCCAACTAACAAACACCCTCCAATCCAGAGCGGAAGCTGCCAGTGCACGCAGTGCCGGCGCAACACGGGGACGCTAATCTTCATGGCGCACACTGTAGCGCTGCGCGACTTCGCGTACCTGACGGCGGCGGCGACGCTCAAGAACTTCTACGCGACGCCGGGGATCCAGCGCGGGTTCTGCGGCGCTTGCGGCAGCACGCTGTACTGGCGCGACGAGTCCCGCGACGACGTCGAGATCGCCGTCGGCTGCGTCGACCCCGAGTGCCTCGCCGAGTATGGCTTCGCCCTCGCCAACGCCTCGGGCAACAACGTCTGGTGCCAGAACGAGATCCCCGGCGTGTCGGATCGCTTTGTCGGCACGGACCGCGGCGTCAAGTGGGCCACGAGCAGCGAGGAGGGCGTCCGGATGTAAGCTTTTATCTATCCGGCTGCTTGTTACATGTAGATAGGACGGACATAGAATAGGGTTTCGATCATTACATACATAACCTAACCTAGGAAGCATAATCTGGAAAGGAACCTGAGATTTCCCCTCTAATACCTGGACAGACACACTCCATTCAAGAAGCCGTGAAGGGAGGCATCTGTAGTTTAGTGGTAAAATCCGCCGTTTCCATTGGAGGGTCCCGCGTTCGATTCGCGGCCGATGCAGTCACTTTTTGCCCTCTTGCTTGGCCTACCGTACAAGCCTCTAGTTTATTTCATTTTCTTATTTTATTAAGATGACGGAGGCACCTCGTTTTTCTTCGGATACGAGCAAGTGGTCGTCATGCCCACATGATTATTACTTGCTACACAGCGCAGCATTGGGAGGAGAGAGCTGAAAAACTGGCGCCGGAATCAAAGGTCACAGAGCATTTTAGTGCTGGAAACCCTGAAAGACAGCACTTACAGCGCATACCTCCCAGTAGCCCTCCACTAACGGGCCCCTAACAATTCCTCAATACCTCCAGGTACTTTGCCTCCAAAGCTCCAAGAATACCATACCCGATGCATATACAACTTGGAAGCTTGTATTCATAAAAGCTTCCAAACTTTCATGTTGGTGTAAGGAGAGTGATTTGGCTGCCGAAGGGTATACCGCCGTTAGAGGCATTCAGGTGTACGGCTCCATATCCATATCATATCATCAATCTTGGATGGCTATGTCACCGTCAAATCGCTACCGTTCACCCGCACGTCAAGTTTCTCAACCATCTATACATCCTCTTCTTCTCAATAACTCGGACTGGATGATGGAGGACAAAATAATTAGGTCAGCCAGTAATCTACTTAGCTACATGAAGGCATATACAAGAAAAAGCCTCGTCGCCTTTCTCTTCCTACCATTCCCACCCCCGTCTATTACCACTCTACAGAACAAGAACAACACCAACAGCAGCCAGCAGACCCGTGAACCCGAACGTAGCAGCAGCCACACCGACAGCGCCCGCGGTCGCGACCGACGCCGTCGGGTACGGGGCCGAAGACGCGGCCGAGCAGCCCTGGCTGTCGCATACAAGAGCCGCGGAACCAGTGCCCGTAGCCTGGGCCTCCTTCATCGGGGCGCCGGTGCCGACCGCCATCGATTGCGCCGCCGCCGCCGCCGTGCCGTTGCCGGCGGCCGTCGGGTACACGGGGACCGCGATCGTCTGGATCGTCGTCGGCGAGTTGGCGCTGCTGCTGCCCTGCGAACCGCCGGGGGCGTTGGCGGCCGGGTAGCTGGACTCGACGGCTGCGGCCGCGGGCTTGGACTGCGAGGCGGCTCCGGCGGGGTACGTGGCTGCGGCGGCGGTGGCCTTGGTCGCCTCGCCGTTGTTGGCGGGGTGGGTCGTGAGGTCGATGGTGATGGTCGTGGTGCTGGCGGAGGAGTGAGCGGCGTTGGTAGCGACGGCCGGGCTCGAGGCAGCGGGCGTCGTCTGGGCTTCCTGGACGGGGCACACGGTCGTCGATACGGCGATGGTCTCGGTAAGGACGGAGATGGAGTTGGCGGGGCAGTTGGCCACCCAGGAAGGGCATTTGGTGACGGTGGTAACCCGCGTGCTGTAGACAGTGCTGGTGGTCATGGGCACCTCGGTCGTGGCCGGCTTGCGAGTCTCGGTGACGGGGATCACGGTGGTGTATAGGGGCTTGGACTCGGTCACGACGGAGCCACGTGCGGGGCAGTTGGTCACGGTGGAGGCACAGGACGTTATAGTGTAGGTAGTCGTGGTCATGATTGTGCTGGTGATGTAACCCAGGATCGAAGACGACTCTGCGGAGGAAGCGCTGGAAGCGGTCGTCACTGCTGCTTGGGAGCCAGACGTGATTGTTTGCGAGGCGGAAAGCGAACTAGTGGTCGTTGCGGAGACACTGTCAGTAACTGACGCGATATATGAGCTAGAGGAACCCAAGTTGGTAGCAATAGAGGTCGACGATGTCAAAGAAGACACAGTTCTGGTGCTGCCAGTCTGAGCAGATGAGGCTCCGCTGCTGGAGGTACCCATAGAAGAGGAAGTGCTTCTGCTCGTGACGCTAGCACTGGTCGAGGTCGTGGGGCGGGATGAGCTGGAAGTCGAAACGCGGCTGGAGGTCGACATGCTGCTGGAGGTAGAAACACGGCTAGAAGTCGAAACACTGCTCGAAGTTGAGACGCGGCTGGAAGTGGAGGTAGTGCTCGAAGTGGAAGTGCGAGTAGAAGCAGGAGCACGGGTCGATGTCGTAACACGGCTAGAGGTCGAAGTGCTGCTCGAGGTAGGAGCACGGCTTGAAGTCGAAGTAGTGCTGGACGTCACAGGCCTGCTGGTCACCACGCTAGAGGTGGTGCTGCGGGTGGTGGTCGTGGTGCTGCGTGTAGTCGTGGTACTGCGGGTAGACGTGGTGCTGATAGTGGTCGAAGTCGAGGAGCGGGTCGAGCTCGTGGTCGTAGCACGGCTGCTAGTCGTGGTGGACGTGCTACGGCTGGACGAGGTGGTAGACGTCGATGAGCGAGTAGAGCTGGTAGTCATAGGCCGGCTGGTAGTCGTGGTGGATCTCGTGGACGTAGAAGACGTGGTCACAGGTCGGCTCGTAGTTGTGCTGGTCCTCGTAGACGTAGAAGACGTGGTCGAACTCGTAGTCACGACGGGCGCGCAGTGGTCGGCAGGGCAGCCGCCGCACTTCAGAGCCTCGCCGAGGGCGTCCTGGTATTCCTGGCCGGTGAAGAGATCCTTGTTGGCGGCGGCGTAGTACGCGTCCCAGATCATGACGCCTCCGAAGTGGGGGCGGGTCTTGTACGTGCAGATGAGATCCTGGGCCGCCGAAGGGGTGATGTAGCCGCTGCCGAACGCGCTGGCGGTCAGACTGCCGGGCAGACCGATGTAGAGCTCGGCGGCGTTGTTGATGCCGCCGGTGATGAACGTCTCCCACTGGTCGTAGTTAAAGGTGGCCCGGTTAGTAGCATCGCAGCTGGGGTTGTTGTAGAACTGGATCCAGATCTTGTCGAACTGAGCCTCCTGGAGAATCTTCTTCATCTGGAAGTAATCATCGCTTTGCGGGCACTGAGGGGCGGCGGTGAGAATCATGGCCTTGTTGTCGTTATGGATCAAGCTGCGAAGATGGTTGACCATGTTGACATAGGGTTCCTGGTCAGCTGTGATTGAGTCAGCAAACGTATACAACTTGAGGGGCCTGTCTACACGAGGCAGTCGTTTTCATCGCAAGATGGCAAACGCAATCCGTAAACAGTCTCATCTTACCAAACTGGGTCTCGATGTCGAAATCGAAACCGTCAAGACAAGTATGGTTGGTGCTAGACACATCAAAAGGTCGAGGACCACCCCATGTTCGCTTGTAAGGACCGAAAGCAGAGTACATGAACTCGGCAAAGTCGATACCGCTTTGGTTAGTAGAGAGCGAATAGTTGCTGGCTGCGTTATACACTCCGCCGATCGACAGCAACACCTTCTTTCCCAGACTCTGACACGTCTGAATATCCTCCTTGATAAAGGAGCATCCGCTCAGAAGTTTCGAGTTCCTCCCATTATTAACGTAGACATCTGAGGCGCAGTGAGCAGCAAAGTTGGTTCCGGGATAGTTGGTGCCATTTCCGTGCTCTGGCGAGTTGTTCACAAAAGCCAGAGTAACGTAGTCAATACTGGTCGATTCACAGTGAGATGCAAGTGTGTCGTTGCTTGGTCCTGCTTGTCCCTGTTGATGATTGTGAGTAGACCGAAGCGTCGATATTAGAAAGGAATCTCATACCCAGTAAGCATTTAGCTTATAGTCTTTCGTGTAGGTAGCGAAAGCAGAAGATGCCAACAGGGTGGCAGAGACAATAGTGTTCTTTAACTGCATCTTGTCGGTTGTATTAAAGTATTATTTGAGACGTAAAGATTGTAATGTGGCCGAAGCCGTAATGAATGTGGTCGCTCAGCTATTACTCAAAGAAAGGACGCAAACAAGATGTTTGCTACGGCTGGTGTACAGGCCGCTTACTGTCAACTCGACACAGTTGGTGAAGAACTGAAGAAGAAGAAAGAAGAAAGAAGGGAGAGACACGAAGAGAGAAGAAAAGAGAGGTTACCATGGGTAGAAGATGACTTTGACCTAGCCTTTTTCACCCCTTATTGGCGCCATGCTGCCCGGCCGTGTATCCATCATGGTGGTTGTTATACGCTAGAGCCTAGTGATGCTCTATCGCGAGCGACTAAAATCCCGACATACACCAAAGACACCCCTTATCGTTCTCCATATCCCTCTTTCTCTTCCCTCTCTCTCCTCTTTCAATTTCCCGTGTTCCCTAGGTATTCTATACGACATTGCGCCATCCCAAACGAGGACACTTGCTGAAGCAGCCCTGGTGGCTAGTCACATATCGTACCATACTCATCTTGCTGCACACACAAAGAACAAGAGACTATCAGGATTGGGAAGGCAGCCAAGTCCAGGAACAAGTATAGTGCTCTGCCTAGAACCGGGTCCGGCGGTGCCCTAACGGCGCCCTAAAACGGGGCCGTCAGGGGGGAATGATTGGTCCGGCCAACCAACTTGGATCTTTGAGAACCAGCTGAATGGTTCATTAAGCATCTCATAGGCAGATAGGCTCGAGCCGACTCATCGATTGATCTTGAGTGAACAAGGGGGCCTAGCTCTTGTCGGCCCGGTCGTGACTCGCCTGGATGAGTCTGTTTGATGGAGAAAATTTTCAAAGAGGAAAAGATCAGCACTTTCGTCAACGACATGCGAAAAGGCATAGGGGAGCACAGCTTACTTAGGCGGTAACATCGTAGATCAAAACTCTAGTTCTAAATGTCTTCACTTCATTTCTTTTCTCATTAACGACGTCTCTGCATTATTCGTCCCAGATTCCTGGGTAACTCACCTGGAGCACAGTACTAGGGGAGCGCTTCTCTAGTCGGCGCATGGCTAAAGTCGATAGCGCCCAACTTCGCGATCCGAGAATTTAGAGAAATCTTCTTTAGCGCCGGCGAAGCGCACAGAAATTGGTAAAGCTATACCATGTAGGCACCGTAGTAAGTCAGCGGTGATGTTGCGCGAGTCCAGGAGTAGGGACATTTTTCCTTCATTCCTTTCTTCACCCCCCAAATCACTAGCTCGAGTCGAGATGACGTTGCTTACACTCATGGGGCGCACTTGATTATTTCTCATCTGCTTGCCAGCTCACATAAGTTGATCCGGCCTAGAGATAGTTG